ATTTCACGGAGCAAAACCTAATGACTAAAACTGTGGACAACATTTTTTGGTGAGGAGAGTTGAGGAAACAAAATCAAATGACTAAAACTGTGACCAAAACTTTTTTGGGTGAATGAAAGTAAGGAAGCAAAATCTCATGAATAAAGCTGTGGGCGAAGATTTTTGGTGAGGACAGCTCAGGAAACAACACCTAATTACTAAGACTGTACATAGAAAAGTACATAGAAAAATGAGCAGAAAATCAACAAACGCACATCAAAAGTATACACACATATTCAACTTTGTTATCTCCATGTTATATTCTGGACATGCTGATGCTGCACTTGTGAGTTCATTAGACTCTGGATACATTTACTTGTGAAGCTGTTTTTACTTGTGAACCACCTTCTGTATTTCCTTGCAGTCAAATTGCACAATGGCTTTGGGCGCTGGACTGTGTACGACTTTTTTGGCATTCGTATATGTTTTCGGAAAGCTATGCTCACTTTACTTGAGACATCATTTACTGTTTTGTGGATGCCACTTGCTCAAGGCACTGTTGTGAGGTTTGTGGATTGCACTTTTCATAAGCCCACTATTTTCACTGTTGTGTACACTCTTGTGTCAATATTGCCATGTACTTGTGAGCCATTTGCTTTGTGAAAAGAACTACTTGTGGCCAGGTCTTGTGCCAATATTGCAATTTACTTTTGGACAGTTCTTCTGTCCAGATTGTAGTTTACCTGTGAGCGTTGATGGTCATCTACTTGTGAAACAGCTCAACTGCCAAGACTGCCACTTAGACTTACTCGTGACCAGGTGTTTTCGCAAGATTGTCATTTACTTGTGAACAGCTCAAATGCAAAGACTGCAATTTACTTGTGAACAGTTCTTGTCAAGATGACACTTTACATGTATCATTTTCTCGCCTCAAGATAGAAACCTCGACAACCCCACAAGACCTCTCTCAAGTAAAAAGAGCTGTACCTGATCTCCAGTAAAATTTTCGCAACGCTTCTCAAGTAACTTGGTGAAAGTACACCAATAAAAATATTCGAGTTTTCTCAAGTAAACACAGCAACACCAAGTGCTCCCACACCTTTCCTCAAGTAGATCAAACAACACTTCTCAAGTATATCACCCCTGGCTTCTCTCAAGGCAGACGAGTAAATTGGTTGTGACAAGCTCCTCTCTCAAGTAAACTGACTTCTCAATTTTTTGAAATATATACTGCAACACTTCTCAAGTAATTTGAGGCGACGGTGACGGAAACCATTCTTGTCTGTTACCTGTGAAAACCAACTTCATGTGTAACTTCCAAGCCAATGTTTTGTGTGTTTCTGTGGTGTTTTTGTGTTGACTGTTGCGGTTGTTTCTATGTTGTTTCTATGCTGCTTCTATGCTGCTTCTATGTTGTTTATATGTTGTTTCTATGCTGTTTCTATGTTGTTTATATGTTGTTCCTATGCTGTTTCTATGTTGTTTATATGTTGTTTATATGTTGTTTCTATGCTGTTTCTATGTTGTTTTGACTTTGTTGAAATTTACTATGAAAAATTAGTTTCTCAACAATTTACTAGGAAACCAACTAATTTTTTCAATTACATTGATTTCATCCAAAAACTAAATTTAGTTGATCTGCAGACTCAGGGTAACGGCAGCGAGCTGCCGCCTGACCAGGTTTGACCACCACTGTCTGACTACCAGCAAAGCCTCGAGAAGGGGCCCGAGTGCGATACCCACCAAAATTCCAATGGAAACAGATTTGAAATCAATATCCCAATCCAGGTAATCAACGGTGGGGCAAATACAATCCACGGGTGAAGGGACAGCCGGTTGAAAAGGCGAGTCCACGAGGTCCGAAAAGAAGCGCCAGGCGAACGAAGAGAGTGATCCCCCTCCCAGTCCTAGTGTCAAGGGCCTATGCTCCATACAAGCTTGACCCAAGAAAGCTGAGCCATGCCCAAAGTCATGAGGTTCATATGTATATACATATAGTCAAAAACTGATTCAGGAGCAAGAGAAACCACAGAAACATGCACACAACAAAGGTAGAAAAAAACAACTCCACCTGAAGGTCCATGAATGTGACACTCTAAGAGACCCTCAACACCGGGGTCAACGATTTCCTTGCGAACTCTACACATTAGTATGGCCACAATGAAGACCTAGTAGGTTGGAGGCCATTGCTAGTAGGTTGGAGGCCATTGCTATTAGAAACAAAGGGACCAAAGGAAGAAAGGTCTAATAATAATATAGTTTGCTAACTCCCACCTGGTTCGCCTCCTTCAGCTCTTCTTGTACCTCCGCGGTGCGTTCCTGGCCGAGTTGATTGGCTTCAGTTTCTCGTCGCACATCGATCAGTTACCCACCCCTCCCCCATCGGTGAAGTCCCTTAAGTGACTGGGTCAAATCTTGAGGAAACAACTGCGCTGATTCCTACTGATTCCCTTTGACAGCAAATGCACGCGCCACACATGAGAGATGATTTCTGCCCAAACCTGTCATGTTTCCCAAGTCATTCCGTTCCAAATTCTCGAATACGTACGTATTTCTTCTTTGACAAAGACCATGAATTCCCTCAGAATTTTGTATCCCCAACTAGCCACATCCACGGCCTCTGCGCAGAACATCAAGCTTGTTCGCGCCCGCTGGTACCCGCTTGCGCCTTGTGGATCGTGAGGGAGCGTTGCATCTGTTCAAGGACCCTCTCGAACAGCTCCACGTAGGTTCGCCAGATCTTCTGGAGTGCCACGCCTGACCCCCGCAACCATGGGCGTAGAAGGTCAGTCCGCACATCTGAAGCACCAATCAGGCTGTGAGGGCTGCGATTCGCGGCGTTCAGTGCTGTGGAGAGTGGTGGTGGCCTATGTCTCCCCCAATTCACAGTCTGCTGCCATTTCAATCCCTGAACCGTGCACGGAAATCACATCGGTCCTGAACCTGTGACATGTCAATGAACACTCTGCAGGTTGTGAAGGATCCCTTCAGCTTTTCACGCCAAACCATCTCAAACATCCCCACGAGCGCTCTTCGCGTGGTCAGCGACCCTCGCCTCGCTCCTGACAATGGTGCATGACCTGCAACGGGCATTTCAAAAGTATAAGCGGTGCCAAAGTTCGAAACATACATTTATGTCTCAAACTGAAGGTGTCCATCCAAGCATGGTTCTGTCAAACAACTCACTTATTTCTTGCCAAACAAACCATGGGCTTCAAAGCGATGCAACTTGATTTATATACTTGCGCCAGACCTTATGATCCATCTCAAAGCCCCTGTGTCACCAATTGGGACTTAAACATGCTATGGTATGTATTTTTTCGACAAAGAGGTTGGTTGCAACATGTTGCAACTAGTTGGGCGCGGTGTTTCACCTTCCGTCGGCCAGGAACAGCCAGCAACGACCAGCACAACATTGCAGCAACGTTGTTTACAATTTTGAGAGCAGGGGGCCGCCGGGGTCCCAGAGGAGCAGTGGCCAACAAAGACCTTCTTTGGGACCCGTGCAAACGTACCTGCTGAATCATTCTGAACTGGTTACTTGTTGTTCCTGCTGTTGTTTGCAGTTGTTTGTTTCAGTGTGGTTCATGCATAAGAATTGAAAAGGGTTCGAACTGCTGACTGGTAATGAAGCATCTGCTAATCTAGCCTGTCTCTAACCCAGCACCACCTGAAGTAGACTGGAGCTGCCAATGGGTGTGTGCAATGGACTCTGAGTGCTACGCTCAAGAGCCAACAGGTGTGGGGGCGCCCGCGCTCTGAGGCGTGCTCTCGCTCTCATATTGTTGTGTTCCTGTTTGGGGTCTCTTGCCGCATGGCGGCATAGTCATTTCTCAGAAGAAGGGGATGAAGAACCCAAAGAATTTGTGGAGATATGACCACAAGATTCTTGAATGTCCACTATTCCTGTGCACTATTTGTTAATGCCCACTATTCCTGTGCACTATTTGCCATTTGATCCCTCTAGCTGTGGCCAAGTGATAGGCAATGGAGCAGGGCAAATATGAATGAGAATGGATGAGAATGGCGAGGGACCAGTTCCACACTCAGAATGTTGTATTCAGCGGCTGGGGCCATATGAGCAACACGCTTGAAAACATTTATAGATATACTTCATTGGCCGTGCCATGCTCGATCTCGATAATGACCGAGCCAGTTGGACAATCAAACCTCCCCTCCTATGTATTTGCATATATATATATATATATCAGGATATTTCATCACATTTCAACAAGGGCTGACCCGACTGTTACTGTTCTGTGTTTCGACGGTGTGCGCAAAGGGCCTGGCGGACGATCTCGTGAAGCGCCACCGAGAGCACCGGCACCAACTCTTGGACCTGAAAGCGAGAAGATTTCAAAAATGATTTTTCAACGCAACGGATTTCTGCCTTTGTGCTTTCCCATGGCACCGAGCTGGCAAAACTGCGAAACCAATGCCAGTCAGACTGACAAATGGCAACGCCCCACCAAAACTCACCACTTAGGGAAACAAAGCCAAAAGTTCCGAGGGGGTGATCTTCCGGATACTTCCGAACATGCTCAGTCCGTCGCTGGGATTTCTGCAAAGAGGATTTACTCCAACCTAGACCTAGATCAGTCGACTTCTCGAGTGGCTTTAAACTTGCTGGAAACGTAGCAAGGATAATGGGTGGGAAGCTTTTTGGCAACTCCTGGGTGGTCCACGCAAACTTCTTGGCAATTGGCAATATCTTTAAATGGGATTAGGCATCAGAATCGTCAACACGAGACACGATCGACATCGATCGACCCTGATTTGTGGTTATCCGTGTTCTGCTTGCCCTTCCCAACATTCAGTAGTTCTTGTTCAAAACGTGTGGAAGTTACCTTCTGGCAATTCAGGAGCCCGAGACTTCAAAGAGAACGACTTTTGACTTTCATGCTGTTCAACGAAGGCCTTCAACATACCAGCAATTCTCGCTGCAAAGGCCATGGTCATGATGGCCATGCACAAACACTTGCAGCTAAACAATCCTGTAGCCAAATAGAACATGGAAAAGCGGCTGCTTGCTCTTCCGCCATCCATCCTTGAAGGACGCTGTCTACAACAGCGCCTGGCTGTCCGCAGAATTCCCAGTTCTGTGATTTGTCGGCTTTCACCTCTCTCCACTTCTTCAAACACTGCAAACGACCTTGCCCGTTTATGCCCGTTTGGCACCTTTTTGCTTTCCTCCATCTACTCCCTAGACCATGCTGGTCTCGGAATGCTAAACAAACAGGTGGATCCTACTCGTGAAAAAGTCTCCTGTCCGTCATCAGGAATGCGGAGAGATGCCAGGGTTGGTAAAGTTCTTCGAAATGGAAACCACTAGTCTTCTACCAGGAAGTGGTCTTCCTATTAGGAGCAAGGAGCAAGGACGCTACTAGAGGCTCCTGGCCTTACTACTAGGAGCAAGAAGTTATTAGTAACAAGTGCATCGTTCTATGTTGGTCCGTGAGGGTGGAGGTTGGAACCAACAGTGTGCGCGCTTCGGAGCTTGTCTTCGTTTCGGCTACAGCGTGAAGGGTGGTCATTCAGCCCAAAACTCAAGATTTGTTGGTCGGCCATTTAAGCTGCCCCTTATTGTACCCTATGTCCCTCGGGGTTGGGAGGGCCGCGCCAACATTGAGGCATAATGATCATCATGTAGACGTGCACAAGCCCACAACGGTCAAGCGACTTTCATCTACTCCTTTAAAGCATCCACAAGCAACTGTGCACTTGTTCTGGGAGGCCTAGGACCACAAGAATGCGAAACATGGACCTACCAACTGCCACCCATCCCCTCAAACATCTTGTTCCGTCAGCATGTGTTCCAACACAAACTTTCGGCGCTTCATGCGTCAGTGCAACCAGTCTTCTCTGCCCGCTCTTGAAGAAACAGGGTGCATCTCAATACCCAATGCGAGGAGAAGTCAAATTTTGTACCTGGAGTATGGGGAACCCCCTTTATGTTTGGACAACCGATACTTGAAGCTTCTCCTTCCTTCACTGTGAGTCCCCAGCCGTTACAGCAAAGTCGTCACGACAGCGCTGCGACTCCTCAGTCGGCAATTACCAGGTCTTGTTGCAGGGCTACGATGGCTGCCATCATGTAACTATTTTTACTGTATACATTGCAATTAGTAATTACAGTATATACACCGTAAATTTGGATCAAAACCCTGGACGCCCGCAGTGAGGTCAACTGATCCCGTGGTTTGGGGATGCTTCGGGTGTCTACCCTTTGAACCCGAAAACTCCCCGAAGAAGACTCCAGTCACTCGCTGACACTTCCCCAGATCTAGGTATCCAGTTCCCGAAATGATACAGTAATGAGTTCATGGCCCACCGTGACTCACCGACCTACTCTCACGCCCCGTGATGCCCATCCTGTCCATGCACAGCCCCCCGCCCAGCATATCACCCAGGCGCAAGAAGGTTTTTCTGGATCTCTCCCAAGGTCTTGCCTGGTCTCGTTCACGCATGCCAGTGGCCCGCCAGGCTATATTCATCCGGCTATATTCATCCCAGAGGCGCCACTTGCCATCTAAAATACAAACTTCTGCCATGAGGGAGCCGCCTAGCCCTTTCTTGACGCCGTCGCTGCCCCAGAGGGCTGAAACATGTTGAAACTTCAAAAAGCCGATGTCGCAAAGAATGCCAAAGAATCGAACATTGGCAGAAACATGCAAACATGAATATTTTTGGCCCGACCTCAAGCGGCACACAGTAGGCAGTATGGATCAATATCAGTAACGGAGTCTTACACGGCTCTTGAACTTCTCTAAAAGGTCTGCGCGCCCCAGAATTCCAACAGGAAAACCACGTATTCGGCCAGTTGAAGCTCGCCAAACCTTGCAAGTAGATTCCAGATTGGTGAGAGGTGAGATTGAGAAAATCCAATCCACCACCCCACTCTGACTGGACTACAAGCTTGTTCAACATTCCTGTCAGATAGAGAATCGCAGTCTTCTCACCGACTTCTCACCCATTTCTCTCTTTTCTTGCCAAACGTGTGGCTGATCCAGTTGTCCAACATCACCGCGTCCGTCCGGCTGGAGGGGCTTTCCGATGGGAACACCTCTGTGGTGGCACACAGCAGGTGGCAAAGCAAGACTCGGGCGGAGATACAGGACAACATGCGCAAGTCCACAAAGGACAGACTAGGCTTATATAAGTTGTACAAGTGCTCCGAGGATGACATAGAATATCATATACATATATATATATAATGGCCACTAAGAACGAAACAAAAGCTCCGCGTGACACGTGTGCTTGCAAAACCGCGGGGATCCAGGTTTCATGCCGGGAGGACGAAAGGAATGCTTACATTGGTCAAGCAGATCCTGATTGTAGAGGCGTTTAGCCTTCTACATGTAAATTAGATAGACGAATTAATGGGAATTTTCCTAGAATGCCAACACATGCCGATTGAATTGGATTCCTGCGGTAGACCAGCCGTAGACAGCATCGCAAGACTAGTGACTAGCAGTGCACTCACCCAACTTGCCTTTGTGTGCCACATGCCGTCCTCGTCCTTAGCAGCAAACAGGTTTGTCGGTTGCTGGGGCACCATGACTGTATGAAGCAATTCGTGAACGCACCAGGGGTCCATTGTGGCCCATTGTTCCTCCACGTGAACCTTTGACTTGTACTGTGGCTATTCCTGCATGCTCGGACACTGAGACTAAACATCATCTCAATCGAACTCCACCCATTGGGTACCAAGTTGGACAGTGGGACACGCCGTCCAGTTGTGTTAACCTCTTATGCAGCGACAAAAGGAGCTCAACGAACCTTCGCGAGCGAGGAAACTTCACCCTCTGCTCCTGTCCAATGTGTGGTTTATGCAATGAGCAGGTCATGGGACGAACCATCCGTGTGGTCACAGCATGTCATATGATTCATGATTCATGGCGATTTCATTATCATGACAATGATTGTGACATCAATAAACCAACACTAGCGACAACATCTGACGAATGTTTACTTTTGCTAGGATTGAGGTCGTTCCAAGCGCCATGTCATTCGGCCATCTTTTGTGGGACTAGACACGTATCTTAAAGCTGGAAATTCGCAGCGACCTAGCCAAATCGCTATGTCTACGTTTCTTTGTAACGACTGGTGAGATGAGTGTCTTGCCACTTCTGCATTTTGCACAAGTACGACAACCTTTCATAGAATAGCCAACAGAACAATTCATGGGCTGGAACATCCCCTGTTTGTTGCTTTGGAAAAACAACAGTACCATACCTACAGGAATGCCACAACATTGCCTTCCAAGTTTGACTGTTTCGCCGCTATTGATTGGACCTGCATTCGATGCTGTTTATGGCAGACTCAGAGTTCGGATGATGAGTTCAAAGATCTTCTAAGCATGGGACTCATTGGACCATTTCAGGCAAGTTGGGACCTACACTGGAAGGCACAGGCGTTGGCCTCATACTGAGTTTCCAAGCAGGGGAAATTTTCAATGTGACGGCCAAAAAGCTTCAGCATTCCTGGGGTAACAGCAGCAAACTTTTCGCTCACATACACACATGTTCATATGATTCTGATATATATAATGACATATATATATATATATTACATAATGTTATATAATGTGGAGAAGCGGCACCCCTCAAACCACCCATTCTGTTCATTTTCCGGTTGTCAACCACAACCCACAGCGATCTTCAACGCAGTGGGCCAAGTCTCAGAGTATATGCTACTGGAGTCCACCGGCATGAAGCTACTCTCGTAGACCTCATCCACCACCCCTAGCGGCCCAAAAGGGCGAAGAATCTTACTCTCAGATCTGTCTCAATAATCCTGAAGCGCAAAGCATCGCAAGTTGGTATCACATTACCCAAACAAAGAAGCTCTTCGGGTCCCGTTTTCGAACTTCTTTGGATCCGAACCGAACAGATCTAGCAGTCTAGGACCCGACAGATTGCTCCCTACAAAAAAAGACTTGGTTCTGACAATGTTCCCAACTCACAGCCAAGCATTCATGTTACACATTCTGTGTTTCATAGTGGTTGTGATGGTGGTAACAACGATGCCCATTTTCGAACGATTCATAAGAACCATCAGATGCCAAACTCCCACACCGAATCGCATTCTGTACAACCTGGCAACCTGAGGGGGCCCATCAAGCCAAATTGAGCCAAAGGCAAAACAAAGGGAGTGCTGCTCTGAGGAAGCTTGAGATTGGGGGAGCAACCAATTGTGGGAATATGGCATACGAGATGAAACCATTCTTGCAGGAGAAGGGTTATCCCTCAAAGTCCAACACTTCCATTCCCAAGCGTCTCACAAGTCCAAAAATGGATGACCCTCCAACAAGTCTCGCCTACAAGGTTGTGGGGCCGAAAAGGTTTCAATTGGCGATCTGTTCAAGGGTACTGGTATGGGCTACCGATTTGGGAACCGTAAAGGACTGTACTGCAAATAAGTCCTTTCCACTTCTCTGCTCTCCTCTACACCTTTTTCCCAGCCAAGCCGCAAAGTCCTCCTCCTGAACCATTGAAGCGTGGAACTGCTGGTCTCTTCCACTTCTATGTTGAACAAAAGCTGAAGATTGTACCCAAGGCAGTCTCTCAAATTTAAGAATCCTGACTGAATGGGAGTTCATGGGATACACAATTGGGGTGGTTGGAGTCAGAGCCTTTGACCCCACTTCATGGTCCGACCAGGTTGGAAAACATTCAATTCAGTGGCTATGCGCACTACACCTGCTTCGGGGGCCGTACACACCACAACCCAAAAGCTGCACTGGACCCTTGTCATTGGCAGGGTGTTGACCTCCATAGCCCATATCCACAATTCATTCTGTATAAATGGAACAAGGCACTTCAATTGTGTTCGTCTATTTCAACGGGAGATCCGCACCATCAATTGTTCATGCCGCTGCCAGCTCATCTGCCCAGCAACAGCTGCGGTTCTAACCTCAACTTGGAGTTTTTATCACCTCCAGCTGATTTTTGACCATGAAGCTGGCACAAAAACGCAGTTAGATAATGTTCAGCAGGCACCTCAGTACCCAAAACTAGTGCACAATGAACTGGAGGATACTTACAGCCTTTTACATGAAGATCTACCAATGATCGTTTGGGCATCCCACCCAACATGCATCTTTCCATCCTCTGAATTTAACACGCCACCGCACCCGTGATCTCCTTGATTTGAGAGGCCGGTAGCTGCGGCGGCAGTGCACTACGGTGATCCGCAAGGTGTGACACGTCATGCGTCCGAGCCGTCTGTGGAGCCGTTCCTCGTGATGTAGCCGTGAGGCACGTGGTGTGGGGACGGAAACCGGTGCGGAAATCGGACATGAACTGGATGACAATGCTTGACGTAACGCGAGGCTCTAAACAACTGTGGACGACATTGAAACAGAACGTGGAACTATTTCGAGGGCCGCCTATGGATTTACTACTTCTTGTATGTACGCACATGTGTATGTGTGTGTCAACACCCGCTTCTAAGGAATTTGACCACACCAAGGAACCTTTTATTCGATTCCTCGACATGCATGTGCACAACAGCAGGGGGTAGCGGCAGATCTTTGGGACCACTACCAACGAAGACGCCCATTTGATCTGGTGATATCAGAGTTGGCCACTCTGACGTACCTGCCTTTGCATAAAGTGCTGGTGCACCATTGTTAAAACCTTCTGTTGAACTGACCAGCGCTTCTTGCAGTTGATTCAAGTCAAGGTCCAACTGCGTGTAAAGGTCTACCTGCAGTAAAGTGGGACTTCGTCAACTGATACTGCTCTTGCGAGCCTTTATCTATATAAGTGTGTCTCGCCACAAAGTCCCACTGTGGTCTGTGGTGTGATCCCCAGCGAGGGGCGCGTCTCACACATGCCCTTACGGGTGATCCTTCACTGATCCTCGTTCCTGCACGACCATGACTGATCCAGCTGCTTGCTCGAGATTGCTGATCATATGAGAATGACATACCATGCTGCTAGGTATTCATAGGGTGTACGCTTTGCTGCTACGTATTCATTTTTTTCCCTCGAAACGAATTCTGGAGCATTCAGTGCTCCGCTGACCCGTCCTCTACTACTCACTTTCTCTGATCTGGAGTTCGTCGCCATGAACTACCCGTGGCCCACTACGGCATCTTCACCGGCCTATGGTCCACTGCACAATCCTCACCAGCTCCCTATGCTACTACACCGCCACTCCACCTACCCATACCTTTACCAACATCTGCCAACGCAACAGCCACACCCCGAATATCCCACCACGGGATCACCCATGATGGTTTATCCATCCTCGACACAGCCACCAACCACACACTATGGGACTCATTTACCGACATACCCACCTGCCAATTCTCCGCGCGCAGTTGTACAACCACATCACACCTGGCCTACGGCGCCATCCAACCACCCTCCACCAGCGACAGCACAGCCTCTCCCGCGCTACCCCACCCCCTTTTTTGATGCACCAAGTTCCAAGTTCAACCACCATCGGTCATGCCACATTACCACACGATGGGCCCGTCTCCCACACATATCCCACCATCGACATGGCAAGTCCACATGCCCCCACAGCCACCAACCCATGTTTCGGTGCCAGCACACCATCCGACTTCAGCCTACCATCCCGTGATGCATCGAGCCATATTTCAATCTCACCGGCAACCTCCACTCCACCACCACTGCAGCCACCACATGTCCTTTCCCAACAACACTCCACGGACTGGACACATCAAACACCTGCAGCTTACCATTCACCCACAAACTTCACCTTCTCAGGCTTCACCTTCGCAGGCGCAACAATCGCCACCGAAAACAAAACATCGCCGGCTTGCCAGTTTTTCAAGTCTTTCCATGGCTTTTTGCCTTCCATGGATTACTGTGCAAGAAGCAAATACACCAGTCTCGCGCCGATCCATTGCGGAGTGAGTGTTCCTGACCTGATCCAACAGCTGCGGGAACAGCGTGTGGACTTGGATGGTACCGCCGACGCTCTGCATGGCGCAGCAGGCCACGCACCACCACCCAAAACAACCGAAGCCAAAGCATTCACGCAGCCATTGGTGGACGTGGTCTGCGAAGCCGTCCGGAAGCATGCCCCAGACCCCGCCGAAGGGAGTGCCGCCCGCCAACTCCTCACCAAAGAAAAGAAATCCAGCGACGCGCAAAACTCTAGGGGCACGAACTTTCTCCCAATAAATCCACACCTCGCCGCCCCAGCACTCTGCCCACTCGACCCTCGGCGCCCTCCACAGGCCCACCATCGGGGCCCACACAATGACAAGTTGACCTAGAAGCCCTGCAGCCAACTTTGAAGGATGACATCCCCGCCAAGTGGGCAATCCCGCAAATCGCCAACTGGGTCAAACAGTTCGATGAGGTCATCCAGGACTCCGCCAAGGAGATCTTGACCGTCCTCCAATCCTCCAGCACCACCGAACAGCAACGGAAGGAAGCAGCCATTAAAAATGGCATTCCGCTTAGCAAAGTGACGCGCGTGCCTATCAAAAGCCCCCCGCCACTTGTCGCTGTGGGGGCAGCCATGGCATGCTGACTGGCACTTACAGCAAGCCGAGGCCCAACCCAACCTACAACACATCTGCACCCTTCACCAAGCGTTAGCAATCCTCATCCACACAGCTACCTACATTGACCAAGCGGAAGCCATGTACAGCCTTGGCCTCCTCCATCTCACAGCACTCATCGCGCACCCCTCCAATACACATCGGTCCAAACAGTGGCGCCAGCGCTTCCACCAGCTGGGTACCCACCCACATACTTGCCAAATTTATCTCTCCCCATTCCGTTTACCTCAAGCTCCACTTCAATTCACACGACGCCCAACGTTGCTACCAGCAGCATGGCCACTTCTACGTGGGCTCCACAGCAGTGGGCGTCCATTATCGGGAACACAGCCGACGAGACAAACTCAAACAATTGTCCCACGACGCCCCAATCTCAGCTGAACTTTCACTACGTTACTGGCACTCCACAGGCACCGTCACTCAGTACTCTTCAATCCGCCTCACCACTCACACTGACTACGATTAGGCGTGGATCCATGAACATCTCTCTATTTCCACATGCAACCCACACTCAACTGGCCGTTCATCTCAAAAGGCGCCTCAAACTCAAAGCAGATGGCTGGCAATTCACCCGCCAGCGAGCTCACTTTTACCAACGACTCTTCAGACTCTTTCGTCGCCGACCCGCTACGGCCTCTACTTGATTCGGGTGAACAAACTCTCGATCAAGAGCCTCCAACACATTGTGAGCGTGGGGGCTGCCATCGCGTGCTGACTAGCCCTGAACAGCCAAAGCCAGCCGCATACAATCACACTCCACCAACTCTTCCGTCTCCACCAAGCACTTTCCACTCTCATCCACTTCAGCCAATACATCGAGCGTGCTGAGGCCCTCTCTGCTGTGGGCCTCATACACATCACACTTCTCTTTTGCTACCCCTCATCCACCCAACGCTCCCAGCAATGGCGCCAACGACTTCAACACCTCCACATCCAACCTCACACTTATCACTACCACAATTTTCTCTCCTCCAATGCCGTGTATGTCAAACTCTACTTCAACCCTACCACCCCCCAACGCTGCTACCACCAACATGGCCACTTTTACATCGGCTCTACTGGCATCGGCATCCCGCACAGGGAACACAACCGTCGTGCAAAACTCAAACAATTGCAGAACAACATCCCCGTTTCAGCGGAACTCTCCCTTCGCTACTGGCATTCTCACAACAACATCCACCACTTCACACCCATTCAACTTTCCTCACATGACACTTCTGACCAGGCCTGGATCCAAGAACATTACCTCATTTCCAACTGGATGCCGCCACTCAACTGGCCTTTCATATCCCACCACCTCAAGCTCAAAGCTCAAGGTTGGCAGTTCGCCAAACACCGTGCTCACTTTTACTCCCGTATGGCCACCCACAAGCGACTTTTCCGCAAGCTCCGCAGACGGCAACATGCCATCCACATCTCTTCACCTCCACTCGACTGCACTCTCTCACACTCCTCCGCAATCTCACCAAACACACGCGGGCATCTTTCGAAGCAGCCAAGCAACTGCGCAGCGGCAAACACACTGACCTGGAGGTCCCAGAAGCTCAGAGACCAAATCCACCAGAGCATCTTATGATGCCGCACGCAGGCTGCGATCAGGTCGGTACTCGGACCTAGAAGTCTATGCCATCCGAAGAATGGCTACCAGTCTGGAAGAACCAGGTCGTAGCAAGGCTGTGCGCATCCTCAACGAAGCTTCAAAATACCGCAACCTGACACCACCAAAGAGCAACCAACCTCTCACATTGCCGTTCCTGGCGCATCCAGACTTCCAGCATAACACCCAAAAGCCACACATGGAAACCCTACGCAGCCAACTTCACAACCACCGCCGCTAGGAACAAACATGTCAACAACCACCCCACGAAGATCAACTACCGTGTGGACGCACGCACCTTCGCACTTTGCTCATTGACTCAGACCACCCACCCAGTGAAGGCCACTTCATAGTCACACTGGACGATCTTCGATTGCCTCCACACCTCCGCCACTTTCTGGGCGCCAATATGAACAGCACTTTCTTCCCTACCAAGCACCAATACTTCGACGCTTTCCACAAAGCCATGAAAAATTGCTAAAACATCACGCCATTTCTCACACGGCAATGGTACCAACACCTACACCACCTACATCATGAACTGCGCTCTACAGCACGCGCCATCACAAAACCCCAGCATTTTCTTGGCGACAAAGTCGTTCTTCATCACGCAGATCACGAACTACAACACCTACGCATCTTCTGCCTCGCCACTTGGCACTCCCCTGAACTCTTCCAATCCCTTCCCGCCCATGACATGGAAGACATCAAAATCCAGATCCAGCAAGCCTTTCCAGGCCACTTCCGCAGAACATACAAATGGGGCTTCCGTGCCAAATTCACCATGCCTTGCGGCATAGTGCACATCAAAGCCAAAAAGCAATGGCGGAAAGGCCGGACCATCATCTCTTACTTCCAATCGCACTTTGGTACCCTTCTCAGAAACACCTCCACAGCCATCAACACGGTGATCCTCCGATTACTCCCACAACCATCAATTTCACGACTAGCTGACACACACTCCCACCCACATTGACCTCCACGCTGTCAACGATGACCTCGTCGGCTTTTTCAACTCCGTTCCACAAGATCGCCTTCCCGATGCAGTCCAAAGCCTCACTACCAAATAGAACCTCACATACGACGCTCCCACCCTGACGACCGACATACAAGCTACTGGCAATCCTCTTCAACTCTCTCATATGGGACAGAATCAT